GCTGGTTCAAGTGTGTACTCCTAGCACTTTGGGAGGCCGAGGCACGAAAATTGCCTGAGTCCAGGGGTTTGAGACCAGCCTGGGCAACTTGGTGAAACTCGTCTCCCCAATAAATAAAAAAATTAGCTGGGCATGGTGGCATGCACCTGTAGTCCCAGCTACTTAGAAGGCTAAGGGGGAAGGATCACCTGAGCCAAGCAGGTTGAGGCTGCAGTGGCTGTGAGAGGGCCACTGCACTCTAACCTGGGTGACAGAGTAAGACTCCAACTCAAAAAAGAGTAACTTGTCTTCATTGAACTTTGGTTTCTTCCCATTTAATTGAGATAAGTCTCTTCTCATCTTACATATGGGGAAACCTATGTTCAGATGGGAGAGGCAATTCTCCCAACATCCTACATTTATAGTGAATAGCAACTGTAGAACAGAATCTAGGCCTCAAAGCATCTTCTACCTGAGCTTTCCATTTTGCACCTTGTATTTAGGGACCTATAGTGCAAAATACCTTGCTTCCCCCTACATGCACATGAAGAAGTTTCTGCAATCCCCATCATACTTGCCACATTAAGAGGGAAGAGTCTGAATTAGGCTAGAGGACTGAGACACCAGGAAAGGCTGGCGTAGGGCAAGAGGAAAGAAGGCTGGGAGAGCAAGGCGGAGCCAAAGGGCTTCAAGGCACTAGGAAAAGGGGCATTAAAAGTGTCCTGGGCCAAAGGCGGTGGCCTATGCCTGTAATCACAGCACTTTGGGAGGCTGAAATGGAAGATCTCTTGAGACTAGGAATTTAAAACTAGCCTGGGAAACAGATTGAGAACATCCACCAAAAAATTAGCCAGGCATGGTGGCACATGCCTGTAGTCCCAGCTACTTGGGAGGCTGAGGTAGAAGGATTGCCTGAGCCCAGGAGGCCAAGGTTGTGGTGAGCCGTGATCGTGTCACTGCACTCCAGACTGGGTGGCAGAGTGAGACCCTGACTCCAAACAAACAAACAAACAAACAAACAAAAACCTGGGGTAAGCAATGTACCCAGGTTGATCCTATTTCACATCCCCTTCCCAGCTTCTGTTCTAGGTTAGTCCTGCTGGCGCCAGCCGGGCTGATCCTATCCTGAGACCCTGCTTCTAGCTGCTGTAGAAGGCCCGAGTGTGGATTGAAAGGCAGATGGTGGGAGGTTCAGCAATACCGAAGCCAAAGGTTCAGCCAAGAAGCCTTGCTGAGTGGGTTGGTGTACCCCAACAGCCGTCAACATAGGGCTGAGACTTAGGGGTGTTGTGGCCTTTGTGGAACTAGACCACTTACAGTGGACTTTTCCTGGAGAAAAAGCAAGTCTTGGCAGGTGTCCAGCTTCTAGGTTTACCCCCAGCCTGGCCACATAATCACCTACTTATCAGCAGGCACATTTCTTTCCGCTACCTGCCTTGGCCCCCATGTTCTTCTCCATTAACCTGCCTGGAGAGAGTCTCACTTTAAGTTAAAAGCCTGTCCCCCTCCAGCGGCCTATTGGGCCGCTCTGCCCTGCCCCATCCTGTTCCCTGGAGTCTCTGGCTGAATGCTGGGCAGATGGGACAGACTAGTGAGATCTTGGTAACAGCAAGGATTTCCATGGCAGCAAGTCTGAGAGCCCCTAATCCAGCTGAACTGGAATCTAATTGCTGGGCTGGCTGATGCTACAGAACTGTCCCTTCTTTGACTTTTGTTCTTAAGACGACCTGGGACAAAGACATTCAGAACGTGAGTCCAGTCCTGGGAGAAGGCAGAAGCCCCCCTGCCCGCCCAAGTGGTGATAGCTTCTTCCCTACTGGAGGGAGGTGGAAGTTATCGCCACCATCTTGGTCCAGCACACCTCAAGACCAATAGGGATGATGGATACTACTTTTTGGAAGGCAAAGCCAGGAGAATCTCACCTGGTTCCTGAATGCCTTCTCTATATCCAAGTATTTGGAAGCACGGTGTGCTGCCTACTTACTTCCAGAGTCGAGAGCTCCATTAAAATGAGCTTCTTAGGCTGGGCATGGTGGCTGAAGCCTATAATCCCAGCACTTTGGGAGGCCGAGGCGAGAGGATAACCTGAGCCCACAGCTTTGAGACCAGCCTGGGAGACATGGTGAGACCTCATCCCTACAATAAATAAAAAAACTAGCTGGGTGTGGTAGCGCATGCCTGTAGTTCCAGCTATTTGGAAGACTGAGGTGGAAGGATCACCAGAGTCCAGCAGGTCGACCCTGGGGTGGCCGTGAGTGTGTCACTGTACTCCAGCCTGGGCAATGGAGTGAGACTCCAACTCAAAAAAATAAAATAAAATAAAGTGAAATAAAATAAAATAAAATAACCTCTTAATTCTAGGAGAGGAAGTTTGGGCCAAAGCAAAGCTTTTGCTTGTGGAACAAAGGGTTATTCCGGGCACTAACACTTCTATTTGTTCAATTTCTTATATGTCCCTAACCCTGGTCAGTAAAGTTTCTTTGTATCACTGTTGATGACAGGCTGGCGTCCTAAGTCGAGCCTTGGTACAGTTTTGTCTGGTGGCTTCATCTGGTCATTGTCCCATCTTCCGTGGTTAAAGTCCTCATTCATGGCTTATCTCTTCACTGATGTGGCAACATCCTTGTGGTTGGACCTCTGTTGGTCATTAGCCATGTCAGTTGTCTGTGTACTAGGTACTGTGCTAAGGATGTAAGCTGACCTGGGCAAATACTGAACAAGTAACAGTATTAAACATCAATAAAAGGTACGGGTTGCTATAGGAACGTTATAAACTTTCGTGAAGTGCTGGTCCCATAAACCTATAAAAGAAGCAATAGGATATATATATGGGGGGGACCCCTCCAAAAGGAATTTACTTATAAAAGATTGTGTATTTATTCTTTTTTTTTTTTAAGTTGGAATCTCACACTGTCACCCAGGTTGGCGTGCAGTGGCACGCTCACAGCCACCACAGCCTTGACCTGATGGGCTCCAGCAATTCTTCCGCTACAACCTTCCAAGTAACTGGAACTACAGGCATGCACCACCACATCTAGCTAGCTTTTTTTTGTTTTGTTTTATTGTAGAGACAAGGTCTCACCAAGTTGCCCAGCCTGGTCTTGAAGCCGTGGGCTCGGGCAGTCCTCTTGCCTCCACCTCCCAAAGTACTGAGATGACAGGCGTGAGCCACTGCACCCGACCGTGTATTTTTTCTTACGTGTTCATACTTCCATCACCTTTGAAGTATTTCTTGCTTGATGCAATACACCTATCAAGGCACCTTTACCACCGCTCAGAACAGTTTTTGGACTCATCAATTTTGATGCCTTTTAGTGCTTCTGCCTTTTTTGTTTCACCTCTTCCACACGGGCGAAGCGTTTCCCTTTGAGGACTTTTGTTTTTTTAATCTGAGGACACACAAAAATGTCACTCAGGTCAAGACTGGGTGAATAGGGAGAGTGGGTCACAGGGGTCATGTTATTTTTGGTCGAAAACTGTTGAACTCTCAGCATGGTGTGGACAGGTGCACTTGTAAATCACCCACTATGAAATGGGCAAATGCACTGAAAGAATCTAAAAAAAAATTCACTGAAGCCGAACGCAGCCTCTCATAACAATGCTAGCTGGTACCCTGATGCTCATGGGTTCCTAGAACACTCACCTAGTGGGGGAAACCTGGATTACAAGGGGCCCACCCTCCAAACGATAATTCTGGGTTTTCCAGGGTCTCCCTTCTGTGTGCGTGTGTGCGTGTGTGTGCGCGTGATGTTTAACGGAGAAATAACTCAGAATTGTAGCACTTGGTGGAAGAGACATAAGTCTAGATTTTTAGAAAAGGGGTCTTGGTGTCTGGGGATGTGAGGGTTGTCTTAAAAAAGCAAAGGCAGCTGTTGGCCTTAATCTTTCCTATCTCCTGAGTTCTTCCTATCTGCTTTGTTGATTCTTTTAGGCGTTAAGAAGGTATTGCTTGCTATTATACAGTATTTTGGTTTGTTACCAGAAGGAAGGTTGATTGGAATAGTCAGAAGTTCGCCAGATATTGTCCAGAGAATCTTCTGATTCTCAGTTCTTACCCCAGACATATAAAAGCAAAGACCAGGGGTGAGAGCTTGCCATCTGTGTCCTATCAAACCCTCCAAGTGATTCTGATGGACTTTAAGTTTTGAGAACCATGTCCCTAGCCCATGGTTACTAGTGATGGAAGCCTAAGGCATCTGCCACAGCCAGAAGGTGGAAGTATTTACACGAAGCCAGGCGAGGTTGGAAGATGGAGCAACAGGCATCTTAGCAACGGGCTTAGAGGATCTGATGTGGCCAACCTGGGAAAGAACCAGGCAAAAAGCAGGGCTGATGTTCTAGAACAGTGGTTGGCAAAGCTTTTCTGTAAACACAGTAATATTTTAGGCTTTGAGAGCCATATGGTCCTAGCACGTGGCCTGTCACCACTGTGCAGCTCTTCCATTGTAGTGTAAAATCAGCCATAATTGATATATAAATAAATGAACGTGGGTATGTTCTGATAGAACCTAAAAGAACTTTATCAACAAAAGCAGATGCCAGGCCAGATATGGTCCCCCCGGTGGGGGGTAGTTTACTAACCCCTATTATAGTAGACTGAATTACTCAGTGGCTTTTGGTTTTTGGTGGGTTTTAAACAGCAAAACCCCCTTTTCCTTATTTAACCCCCCAAAGCAGGAACTGTTCCCACTGAAACCCAGAACTCTCTGCAGTTTTCTCCTCTCCTTAAAGCAGGCCCTATAGTTCTTAGAACACATTCTAATGCCATTTAAGTAGAGCGCTCTAGTGTCCAGGCTCAGGACCACCTAGACATTGACCTGGAAGGCATGGGCAACTCTTCCCGAAACCATCTGGCCTATGACCAAGGTATGGAAGTGGGACGAGCCAGCCTGAGATCAGGTCTGTCCCCAACCATGCCTGAACCCTGAGGGCCAGGGAGAGTCTCCTTTGCTCCAGCACATGGTCTCTGTTTCTCTGTGGATGCCAGCCAGCCTGCAGAGGCCAATATGAATACCCAGAGTATGAGTCACCGGTCTGACACCCTCCCTGTGCCCTGTGACTAGATGAGGGACCAGGTCCTCAAAAGCCAGAGCACCTACCCTCTGCTGCTGGAGATGACGCTATGCTTACAGCAGACCGTGAAGGAGCACTTCCTGGCGCTGGAAGAATGGACGGATGCTCTAGCCATTTGTGAGCAGAAAGCCCTTCTGGGCTGCTTGGCATGCCAGATGGTCAACCTCCTACAGTTTGGGGCCCCGAGAGGTCTGGGGCTCACAGTGCCTCTCCCTTCCCTGGACTCTAGTGATGATGTCAGAGGCGGACAGGGGGACCAAGTGTCCAAGCAGCCTGACCAGCGGATGCCCCAACTGAGTGATTGTGAAGCTGCCTATGTCAGCCATGACCTATCCAACCGTGGGGTTGACATCTCTATTTTGTGCCAGTCGGGCTTCCGAGACCACAATGCCTACCAAGGAGACAAATTCCATGAGGACACCATCTTGGTGAGAACATGGTGACATCCTCAAGGGCTCTACTCACTGGGATTTGCTGAATCTTGTACCAAGGGCTCTCTGTGCTCTCATTCTTTACATCCCGATGAAATGGACACTGTTGTCTTCTTACAGATAAGGGAATAGTCACAGAAATAAGGTGACATGCCCTAGAAAGTTGGAGAACTGCCCCCATGCCTGAGTTCTCCCTGAATCTCAGCTCTTAGCCACTGAGAGTCAGTCCCTGTGGTCAGAGGGGTGAGTGAGCCTGCTCCTATGGAATTTAGTAAGGAATGTATTCAGTCATTGGGGCACAAACATTCAGATGGTCTGGGAAGATGTCCTAAAGGGTGAATCAGCCATCCATGTGGTGGTAGTGGCCATGACCATGGCTGTGACCCTCTGGAGGAACAGCACATGTAAAAGCTTTAAGGTGGGAGGGGCTTGGAGTGATTGGGAAGGGAGGCCCCTGTAGTGAGGGTGGAGACAATGAGTGCTGTGGCAAGAGGTAGGGGTGGAGAAAGAGGTAGATAGGAGGTGCTAAGATGTTGCCCTAAGGGTGAAAGGGAACTCATGAAAGACTTCCAGCAAACGGGTTTCATAGCAGCTTTCCAGTCAGAGTGCAGAAGACAACACTAGCCATATCGTCCCCCTCTGTTTCCATCTAAGTGATGTACAGCCAATGGCTGTTCCCTTTTCTCGGGGCTGAGTTGGGTATCACCATAGGCCTCTGAGGGACTGCGTCTCTTCCAATAACTTGGAGGGACCTTATGTGTTAGGAGAAATAGCAGAGATGGGTACCAGGTGGGGCCTCTGAGGTCAGATAGGTGGAGTTCTGACTATCACCCAAGGTCACACGATGAGTCGGTTATTAAACTTTTCTGAACTTCACTCTCTAAATTGGGGCTCATATGGAACCTTTTTCTCAGGGGCTAAGGCGACTCACATGAATCTCTTAGTCTAATGTCCAGCGTGTAATAAGAACTCAGGGACTGGTAGATGGGACACAGGTATGAGTTATCTGTATGTCTCTAAAGAGGGGAACTTACATGCTATACAATTTGGGGTTTACGGAAAGTCTTCTAATGCTTAAAGTTGTCCGACGTGGGTTGCATTGTCTCAAGGGACAGTGAGATCTCCACTTGGACTGATCTGAGATGAGCACTTATTGGTGTGATTAAGGGGGTCTTTGTGGAAGGGGCAGGAGGCCTGATCTCGGATTCCTTCCATCTCCAGGGCTTCATTAACCTTGGCACCAGTGAGAACAAGCTCTGTACTGATGTGATGAATGAGACAGTAAGCCATGTTCTGGACTGCACTGGGAGCCATCCCTTCAAGGCCCAATCCCTCTAGAATGTTCCTCAGCACATGGCAGATTCAGGAGTGAGACATAGGAGTTTGGGAAAGGGAGTGAAGAGATTGCTTTTAGAATAGCACTCCAACCACCTGGCTTTGCTGACCAACCAGAGGTGTTCTGTCTGATATGTGGTAGGTAGACTGCCATGGGAGCCTCTGGATAGGGGAGGTTGTCAAGCTCTTCCTGCTGGCATGTCTACTTGTGCAATCCATAACGAGAAGAGGCCACACATGGAGGGCGCACGTGTAAAGCTAGGCACAGACTAGGAGGAGGCCTGTCTTGCCTACTCAGCCTGACTTTACACTCTATTTGTCAACAGTTGAGTCAAAGTGACATGAGCTACACAGATGACGTCCTGCTGTGGTATCCCGATTTCAAAGGACAGCCATTGTAAGTACCTCCAGATCTAAGGTCTCCTGGTGCACAGGCACCTGCCCTTATTTGGGGCAAGAATCAAGGCACTAGATTCTTGGTTGGCTACCGCCCCATTTCTTTGGGTAATAACTTCTAGAAAAACCTCATAAGGAGGCAGCCTAGCATAGTAGGCAAAGCATTGAGTTCCTACCTCCTGGGATGTAAAACCTCTGATCTCCTACCTCCTAGGATCCAGCATCTCTGATCTCCTACCTCTTGGGATCCAGCATCTCTGATTTCCTACCTCCTGGGAGTCAACATCTCTGACTTCCTACCCCTTCGGATTAAAAACCTCTGATTTCCTACCTCCTAGGATCCAACATCTCTGATTTCCTACCTCTGGGATTCAACATCTCTGATTTCCTATCCCTTCAGAAAAAAATCTCTGGTTTCCTACCTCCTGGGATTCAAAACCTCTGATTTCCTGCCTTCTAGGATTCTTGCCCCAACTGTCACTTATTATGTGTCACCTGGAGAGTTGATGGCCTGAGTCAATAGCTCATTCAGGTAAAATGACACTGGACTAGGTAGCAAAGATCCCTTTTAGGTTGGGCCTGCTGCCCTTTGAAAAAGACCACCTACACCACGAGTGAGGAAGGGACTCTGGGAACCACAAGGCCTCTCCGGGTCTGTTTACAGCCTGCTGGAAAAAGTAGCCCAGTTCCTGACTCACTACTGCCATGCCCCTGCCCAGCTTGATCCAGAAAAGCTCTGATCTCCTACCTCCTGGGATCCAGCATCTCTGATTTCCTACCTCCTGGGATTCAACATCTCTGACTTCCTACCCCTTCAGATTAAAAATCTCTGGGTTCCTACCTCCTGGGATCCAAAATCTCTGATTTCCTACCTCCTGGGATTCAACATCTCTGATTTCCTACCCCTTCAGATGAAAAATCTCTGAGTCGGTTTCCCAGCCTCACTGCCATCCTGAGAGGGCTGCATTCTTAGGGGGTGTTGTGTTTTCTAAGGGGTGCAGGGAGAACCGGTGGAGACCCTCAGGACCGGAGCAGAGTGGGGGCCAGTGGGCCCCAGCTGAGGAAGCTCCTGGTGCCTGTCCCTTCCAGCGGGATGGGGACGGTGTGGCTACACCTTCTTATGTGGGAATTGGTTTCTGACTCCTGCCTCTTGTGCCTCGTCTTCAGGTGGTTGTTCTAAAGGGCTGCTGCTCTGTGTTCTCTGCCCTGGCCACGGTTCCGTGTGATCCAGGGGGTGAGTCAGCGGGCTCTGCTTTTCCTCTCAGTGCAACACTGACATGTGGGCAGGAATACACAGGGACTGGGCTTTGGGGAAGAAGAGCATCTCGGCTCAAGGGCTTTCCCCCAAGTTCTGGGACTTCTCCACTGACTAGGACATCTTCTCGTTCTTTCTGTGGGATCAAGGGGTTTGGAGTCTCCACTTAATATGAAAGGGAAACATGATGGTCTTCAAGGAGGTGTACCCCAGGAATGGTGACTGTGAGAGTCAACCTATTGTATGAAGAGCTGGGCTTTGGGGCCCAATGGCAACACAGAACACCCTGGCCATGGGCTAAGAAGATATAGGTTCCTACCTCAAAAAAAAAAAAAGGCTCATTAGTTCTGTACCAGATAAAGCTGGGAGGTCTGTTCTCAATCTCCCTCTAACAGTGTCTGAGCAAGAGGCTCAGATCTTAATGAGCTCTGTGTGTATGGAAGGAAGTAGCCAGGACAGCCCCTTTCACACAAAGGAGTGGGTCCTTGGTGAGCTCATCAGTGAGGCCAAATGGACAGGAAGGAAAGAACATATGAGACCACATGGTCAAGTCATTGCAGCCCTCCTTGTGTATAGACCTTGACCTCTAGTATTTGGTCTGAGCAGATGAGACTTTCCTGAGGACCAGTGCTCTGTCTGCTAGCAAGCCTCACTTGACTGTGCCCTGAATCGAGCCATTCACAGCACTATTCTTCCCTGTTCTCCTTCCCTAGTGTACCCCTCAAAGAGAAAACTAGAGCTTTGCTCCCCAAATAACGTCTATAAGAATGGATAACTTATAGCACTTGAGCCTACTAACACGAATCCCCAGGTAGAAGGGATTGCCAAACGGACCTTTTCTGTCGGTCACTTTGCTGCTAGTCTAGGGGGCCTGGTAGGCGCTGGCTGAGAGACCTTGGACTGACAGCTTTGTCTCCCTGTGCTTCCAGAGGCCTTTCTGGTTCCCACACCCTTCTATGGTGGCTTCGCCTTTAGCTCCTACCTGTAAGAGAAAGTGGAGCTGATTCCTGTCCACCTGGAGAGCGAGGTCAGAATGGGACCCCTTTCCTGCTCAGTCCACTGAGGCAATGAACCATTCTAGGGGCACTCAGAAGGCATAGAGGGGCCTTGCTTTCTACTCATGAGTGATGGTGGGCTGGGGTGGAGAAACCAGGGCAAAGAAGGCATGTGGGACTGGCACCCTGGTCTGAAGGCAAAGGGTTGTTTGTCTACGGCTATGGGAATGAGGAATCAAGGAGAAGCTTTTCAGATAGGTGGTTCTCAGGTGGTGTTCATCTTCCAGATCACCAACACAAGCATCCATCCTTTCCAGCTCACTGTGCACAAGTTGGAGCAACCCCTGCTTGAAGCTAGGCTCAAGGTAAGGGGAAATCATATTCTTGGGGTGGTCACTGCTGGTCCTGAAAGGGGTTGAGTATTGAGACTCCAACACAGCTTGTTCACCGAGACCTGGCAGGCTCTCTTTAGTCAGAAGAGACAGTGAAGGATCCAGGAACGTGACCCTCTAGAAGCCCTGTGCTTTATGGGGACATTATGACAGCCCTTCCTGCTCTCCCTCTGTGAACAGTATAGCAGTTGTGGCTCTAGGACCCTACCTAGGCTTTATTTGGTGTCAAATGTTGGGTGTCCCAACCTGTAAAGTATCCTCGACTGAATTTGGGATAGGCTGTGAATGACTTGTGCTTACTCCCTTATGTTTGGGTTCTTCTTAGGGGAAGATCAGAGCCCTTGCACTGACCAACCCTCAGAATCCTCTGGGTGACATTTACTCCCACGATTCACTGGAGGAACTTCTGACATTTGCCAAGAGGTACGAGTTCCACGCCTTGAGACTAGATGTCTCTAAGAGGCCGTTCCTATCGCTTATAGTCAGGAAGTCAGAACCGGAAGCCATGGACCCTAAATATTCTTATTACACACCATGCTTTGCAGAGTTACATACAGCTGAGATGAAGACCGAGGAAATTGCTCCCATGTGCTTACCACTTCAGGATCTTTGTGCCATTTCCTTTCTGGCCTTTGTGTGGGACATTTACACAACAGTACAGACATTCACATAACAGTCAAAATGTAGCTTTGTTGCATTTCTACTTATTATAGCATAAGCACTTTCCCAGCATCCATTCCCCAAACTAGGGTGGAGCTGCTAAGACAGACTCTCAGTCCTTGTGGGTTTATTTATGTATTTACTTATTTTTTGAGTTGGAGTCTCACTCTTGTCACCCAAGCTGGAGTGCTGTGGCACTCTCACGGCCACCCCAGCCTCGACCTGCTGGGCTTAGGTGATCCTTCCGTCTCAGCCTTCCAAGTAGCTGGAACTACAGATGCATGTCACCATACCCGACTAACTTTTTGGTGATTTATTGTAGAGACAAGGTCTCACCAAGTTGTCCAGTTTGGTCTCCAACCCCAGGTTTAGGCCATCCTCTCGCTTCGGCCTCCCAAAGTGCTGGGATTACAGGCTGAGTGACCGCACCTGAACTGTACCCATCTTTAAAATAAATAAATAAGTAAAGATGACAATACTGTTTTAGGGGGTTATTAGTAGAAGAGATGAGATAAGGTACATTAGCCCACTTAGTGCCACTATTTGAGTCAGACTCCAGGTGGGAGCTCCTGGCTACACCGACTCTGGGATACCTAGCTTCTTCCCTTTGGTCTTGCTCTATGCTTGAATGGTTAGATAAGATTTTCCCAGGTGTCTTTTGGGTCCTATTCCTTACTGGTGCCCCCAAGTCAGGGATAAGGGTCCCTTCTACAACACTCAGAAGGGCTGGATGGGCAGCTGGGGCCATGGGGAGTTCTGATCTGTGTCCACAGAGGATCCTAAGACAGTAAGTTAAGATTACGGAGATGCCAGACCTTGTTTTCCCCTTTTCACTCAACCTGCAGGCACAACCTACACATAATCTTAGATGAGATTTACATGCTGTCTGTGTTTGATGAATCCATCACATTCCACAGCATGGAAAGGTGAGTTGGTCTCAGCTGGAGTAGGGAATGAGACCTGAGGTTCCAGATATACAGGGCGGGTTTATGGACATGAACTTAACTCAGTTGCTAGCACGTGGCTGTTTCAGTGCCTACAGGAGCTGGGATACAAGCAAAACATCACTTTTCCTTCCCAGGTGTCTTTCAGTCTAAATACCATTTTGAATACAAGATAACCTGAGGGCAAGGAAAAATGTGTACTGCTGAAGGTCAAAACACAGCCCCGGAAGGCTAAGGGGTCCGGGCTGGAACTTCTTGATAAACAGAGCCCCGGGAAAGAACAGAAACAGGGCAGAAGTTTCTGAAGGGTAGTGTTTGGCCCTAGCGATGGAATCCCAGCAATCAAAGCAGGGGGAGGGCATGCCTGGCAGAAGGAACAGCTTCACTAATGGTGGGCAGTAAGAGACAGGCACATTCTAGAAATGGTGGGGGAGCTCACTTCTGAAGCACCAGCTGCCAAGAAGGTGGCTGTGAACCTGTCGTAGGAGAGCCACATGTCAGTCTGAGGGTCCTAGACTGTATTCAGTGGGCACCCAGGAGCTGTTCCTAGTTTTTCAGGGCTGCCTTGTATTGACTTCCTAACTTGACTGGAGTTTCTTGAACTTTGGGTCCTGTAGGCCCTGCTGTCTAGGAAGACCCTCAAGTCTCCTTTCCCCTCACAGACCCCAAGTCTTCATCCTTCAGATATTTCTGTTACATAACCCTGACTTTTTTCTCCCCTGCCCCAGGTTGCCTGATCCCAATAAGACCCATGTGATCTGGGGCGCCAGCAAGGTGAGCCCAGCTGCATGGCCTGGGACTTGGGTAGGGAAGGAAGGGAACCCAAGGGTAGAAGGCAGACAAATCAGATATTCCCTCCCTTGCTTCTCTTCCCATAGGATTTCGGCGTCACTGGCTTCCGCTTTGGTGCCCTGTACACCCACAGCAAGGAGGTGGCCTTTGCCATGAGTGCCTTTGGCTATCTCCACAGTCCCTCTGGAATCACCCAGCACAAGCTGGGTCAGCTGCTTCAGGACACAGGTAGTGAGCTCCATCCAGGCCAGCATCTTGACTGGGCCTCATAGCCATGGGGAATTCTAGATTTTCTTGGGTCTCTGACATGCCTTCAATATACTGAGACCCTGGTTATTGTCTGTGGTTACTATGGTTTGACTGCAGCAGGGTGTGAAGTTTGGAGGAGGGCAGGATACAGTTCAGATAGGGTCGTAGGGTGATGATATACGCTGTTCTAAAACACAGGGTGGGCTTTCATTTCTGGATGTCTGGTAGCTTGTGCTCTGCCGGGAAAGGGGATAGCCAATCACACACGTTAAGAGGACAAGGTAAGAACTTCAAAAATCAGCCTTTATGTGGATGTATATTTTTCCTCCACAGTGCCCTGCTTGCTTAGGCAAATATTACCGTAACAAGTCCTGACTCTTCTACTGTAACTTGATCTCGTCTTCCAAGGTGGCCCAAGGAGAGCTGCCACCCGGGCACGTTGGTGTGGCCAGCTCTCTGGCACTTAGACTCATCTTTCCCCTTGGATCCCAAGAGAATGCTGGCCTCACAGGGGCTCCCCCTTTAATGCCATGGGCCAAGTTTAGAGAAGACTCTGTAATTCCCTATAATAGATCAGGTACCAGGTCAGAAGTTTTTTTAAATAGCTGGGATAATAATAACACAAACTAGTATCATATTAGTTGGCTTAGAAAAATGATTTGCCATCAGCTCTGGGAGGGGAAGGAAGCAGATAGGAGACATTCCACTGAATGCTGCCCTACATGGTGCCAGCCTGTTGGATGCTTGGTAGAGACTAGATCCCAGCCCCTTGAACGTGGGCTCTTGACCTTGGATGCACATGGGAGCTCCCCGAGAAGCCCAAATACTGACTTGTGGGCTCCATCCCCAAAGGTTCTGATTGGAATGATGCAGAGGTGTAGCCTGGCCATCAGGGCTTCTAACGGCTCCTTAATTTCAAGACAGCAGCAGCAAGTCCCTTTAGAGGATTGATGACACCTTGTCTCAGGGAGGCAAACTCAAAGGAAACATCCCCACTAGACCCTTGGGAGGCCCAGTGTCGCCACCAGAACCTTGGATAAGAAGTGGGTCTGTTGGGTATGGAAACCATCAGCTCCAACAGTTATTATTGGCTGGAAATCGCTAGCATGAAGCTCAGGTAGGGAGCATTTGGAAAGGAACCCTTTGGTAGATCTCTGCCTCACAATCTGTGACAGTTCTCTTCTTCCACCCCTCCAGAATGGATTGACAAGGTGTACCTGCCCACGAACTGCTCCCGGCTGCTGGCAGCTCACAAGTACATCACCGACAAGTTGAAGGCTCTGAAGATCCCTTTCCACAACTGTGGAGCTGGCTTCGATGTCTAGATTAACTTGAAAAAGGTGAGCTCTAGAACAAAGGTAAGTGTTCTTGGGCAGCCATGCCAGCTGGGACTCGGGCTCAACTCTGCTCCTCTGCCCTCCCTAGTACCTGTACCCATGTACGTTTGAGGAAGAACTGCTTCTCTATCGCTGCTTCCTGGACAACAAGCTGATTTTGACCCGTGGCAAAGCCTACATGTGTAAAGAGCCGGGTTGGTTCCGCCTTGTCTTTGCAGACAAGTTCCCCCTGCTAGAAGTGGGTGAGTAGAGCTGGCCTCCCAATCCGGCATCCTTTAAAGATGCCTTATCAGGCCAGGTGTGGTGACTCATGCCTGTAATCCCAGCACTGTGGGAGGCTGAGGCAAGAGGATTGCCTGAGCCAAGGGGTTTGAGACCAGCCTGGGCAACACGGTGAGGCCTTGTCTCTATAATAAATTAACCAGGCCTGGTGGCATTTAGCAGCTCCAACCCTTCTAGACTGTTTCCTTTTCTGTCTTTAAGGAAGCTCCTTTGTAGACATGAATTTCAGCACCCATCTGTTCATTACATCCTTTGGGTGACTGCCATGGAGTGAGTCATTGGGAGCATACGCTAATTGGTGGTACTCTGCCCTGTGGAGCTGGCAGTGTGGCAGGCGAGGTGGATGGCAGGTGACCATACAAGTCCCTGTATGTCTTATTAGAGTTTGGTTCTCCCGAAGGTGATGGAGGACATGACCTCCATTTAACGATTACTCATTGCCTCGCACTGTCTGCTGGACACTGCTGGGAATATGGCAGCGAGCCATTCACTCTCACGAAGGTTCATGTTGCAGAAGTATCTTTGGGGCCAGTGTGGAGGGTAGGCTGAGTGAGAAGCAAACAGGATGGCCAAGGCCCAGAGCTAGGGTACAGGATTTGATACGAGACATTGAAGTGTCTAGTAGGCTGACATGACAATGACGTTCAAAAACAACCATCAGGGTTGTAACAGGTTAGACTTTGAAATCCAGCCCAAAGACGAATCCCTGCACAAGAGGCTCTCATGGAGCCGGGCTCGGTGGCTCAGCCTGTAATCCCGCGCCTTTGGGAGGCTGAGGTGAGTGGATTGCCTGAGCCCGCGGGTTCAAGACCCGCCTGGGCAGCGAGACCTCATCTCTACAATAAATCAAAAAAATCAGCCGGGCATGGTAGTGCATGCCTGTAGTTCCGGCTACTTGGAAGGCTGAGGCGGAAGGATTGCCGGAGCCCAGCAGGTCGAGGCTGCGGAGGCCGGGAGTGGCCACTGCACTCCAGTCTGGGTGACAGAGTGAGACTCCAACTCAAAAAAAAAAAAAAAGAGGCTCTCATGGTTGACCAACCATGACCTGGGTATATCTGAGGCCCACCTACCAACCCACTAAGTCTTTATTTCTCTCTCTTCTTATCTGGATACTCTAGCCATGGATCGGTTCTGTCAGGCACTGTGGGAGCAGAAGGAGAAAGTGGTAGTGAAACAGCTGGAAGAGGCAATGAGGGAGTAGGCCATCTGTCTCCCAACCAGCGATTCCAGCCCATCACTTGTTCGGGGAGCCTGACAGCAGATAGCCTGGTCCAGAGGAGAGGTACTGAAACAGGTTCTTCGACTGAGCAGTTGGTGGGCCCCTCCAGGAATGGTCTCACCCGACCCAGCCATCAACCTCCTTAAGCTGAGCCTCTGTGTCTTTGGAAGCATTGCATCTTTTTAGTCTTTCCTAGTCATTGTGTATGCAAGGTGATGCTTTTATTGGGGCTATGGTGGGAAGGCCTCGAGGTACCCAGAGAAATCAGGAAGCCCTCTGGGCCCCTATTTAGATGGGTTTATTTTTGTACTCCATGTCAAATAAATTCCAGGTCTGTTTTATTTTGTACTTATGTTTTTAATTATCACCTTTGGATGTGAGATGCTTTTCTGTTCTTTTTTTTTTTTTTTTTTTGAGTTGGAGTCTCACTCTGTCACCCAAACTGGAGTGCAGTGGCCGCTCCCGGCCACCGCAGCCTCGACCTACTGGACTCCGGCGATCCTGTCGCCTCAGCCCTCTGAGTAGCCGGAATTACAGGCATGCACTACCAGGCCCGGCTAATTTTTTTATTTATTGTAGAGACGAGGTCTCGCTGCCCAGGCGGGTCTCGAACCGCGGGCTCAGGCTATCCACTCACCTCAGCCTCCCAAAGGCGCAGGATTACAGGCTGAGCCACCGAGCCTGGCCTTTTCTGTTCTTTATCATCTTTAAATTCTCAGGCAGGTTTTAAGGGAAGAATACTTTGTGAGACGGGCCAGGGAAGGAGTGATCCCTCCCTGATGGAGTACTTTCTAGGTATTGGATGCAATGTTCCACAGTATTCTTATGAAATCACTTCCGCTTCCACGTGACCAGTCAAGAAGCAGGGTGGAGGTGTAATTACAGGTTTCCTGCTTCCAAATACCAGAATTCTTTTCACTTTTGCCTTTCCAAAAGGCTTTTAAAACGAACCTCTTGGTATCTTAGTCTTTCCATGCTGTTATACCAAAGTTCCATAAACTGGGTGGTTTATAAACAAAAATTTATTTCTCACTGTTCCGGCGCTGGAAAGTCCAAGATTAAGGTCCTAGCAGATTTGGCGTCTGGTGAGGGTCCCACCTTCTCGCTGTAACCTCACATGGAGGAATGGGTAAGGGATCTTACTCTGTCTTCCTGAAGTTGCCATGTTTCGGAGGTGGTTAGGTCATGAAGGCAAATGCCTGTCCCAATGCCATCACCCCTAACCACCCCACCTCCTAACACCATCACCTTGGGGGTTCGCATTCATAATCAACACATGAATTTGGGGGTGGGCCATAAGCATTCGGTCCATAGCATCTGGGGTCTTTCTGCTTGCATCTCTAGTAGTTTTAGCCATTCAAATCTCGCCAGCCCGTGTGTTTCTCTGCAAAGCACTTGCATATCTGAGCATGGATGCTGTGAGCAGTGACTACCACCATTTTACAGCTGATGGCTTTGGTTAGTCACTTGGATTTGTGACTCCCTCCCCTGGGTCCAGGTTTCTTATTCTTCAATGACAATTTTCTTCTACTAGCTTTCTTCTCTTTTTCAAAGTTAACAAAAAGGAGCATGTCAACGAATTCTGATTCTTCAAAGTCCTTTACACTAGACAAGATTCTTTACGAATCAACAATGGCTAGTAGAAATACAATGGTCAGTCACTGGAAGCATGCAGGAGCTCACAGGACCAGAAAAGAAGGTCAAGATGGCAACCAGAGATGCTCTTGGGATCTCTCTGTAATAGGAACTAACCAACAGACAGTCTCAGGGGCACTGACCCTGGGATGGAAGAAACCGGAATCATGGCTTCTGTGTAGAAGGGACAGGCTGTTTTTGTCTTCTGTTCTGCTCATGACCCGAATGGTAGGCTGCCAAACCAAGTGTGGGCCACCGGCTGGAATAGAGTTATAAAACCTCAAATATATGACCCAGGGAAGGGGGAGTTCACCTAGAAAAATTCATTAAAAAAACAAAACAAGCCGGGCTCGATGGCTCAGCCTGGAATCCCGCGCCTTTGGGAGGCTGAGGTGAGTGGATTGCCTGAGCCCGTGGGTTCGAGACCCGCCTGGGCAGCGAGACCTCATCTCTACAATAAATCAAAAAATCAGCCGGGCGTGGTAGTGCATGCCTGTAATTCTGGCTACTTGGAAGGCTGAGGCGGAAGGATTGCCGGAGCCCAGCAGGTCGAGGATCGCCGGAGCCCAGCAGACGGGAGCGGCCACTGCCCTCCAGTCTGGGCGACAGAGTGAGACTCCAACTCAAAAAAAAACCAAAAAAAAATCAAACCAAAACTAGGAGATAACAAAAACCCACGTTGCCCAGGCTTCTGAGTGTCATTCTGAGATTTATGTAGGAAGGTGACATGAACCTTAGTTCTTCTACGTGAGGGTGTTCATGCCTGCTTTGAAAGCTGGAGAAGACATGGGAAGGTCTGATGTACATGTCTATGTGTATGGGGTCAAAAGCTTTGAGATATCTTCAGATACTGTGTCAGATGTCCTGACTTTGACTTAAACTGACTGAGTTGGTTTGATTCAAAGTGAGGCAAAATCATCTTTGAAGGTGGCTGCACGTTGTATGATACAGCGCTTGTCAAAGCACATCTGTGTGATGTTGGATAAAGTGATGGGAGAGCGGCCAGGTTTGGTGGCTCAGTGAATGGATTGCCTGAGCTTGCAGATTCGAGACCAGCCCGGGCAACTTAGCGAGACCTCATCTCTACAATAAATAAATAAAAAAAAATTAGCTGGGTATGGTAGTGCTCACCTGTAGTTCTGGCTACTTGGAAGGCTGAGGCAGAAGGATCGCTGGAGCCCAGTGGGTCGACGCTGGAGTGACCGTGAACGTGCCCCTGCACTCCAGCCTGGGCGATGGAGGGGACCCCAACTCAAAAAAAAAGTGATGAGAGGGGATATTCTTGCGTTGTTCTCAATCTTAGCAAGATTCAGTTCCATCTTTCACTCTTAAATATGGTGTTACTGTATTTTTCATACTATCCTTTACCTAATATTGTTTCTTTCTATGACTACTTTGCTGGGAGTTTTGCCGTGAATTTTGTTAGGTGTTTTTATTTGCATCTATAGAGATGATATAATTTTTCTCTTTTAATTATCAAAGTAGTCAATTACATTGATTTTTTTTTTTTTTTTTTGAGTTGGAGTCTCACTCTGTTGCCCAGACTGGAGTGCAGTGGCCGCTCCCGGCCACCGCAGCCTTGACCTGCTGGGCTCCGGCGATCCTTCCGCCTCAGCCTTCCGAGTAGCCGAAATTACAGGCATGCACTACCACGCCCGGCTGATTTTTTGATTTTTATTGTAGAGATGAGGTCTTGGTGCCCAGGCGGGTCTCGAACCCACGGGCTCAGGCAATCTACTCACCTCAGCCTCCCAAAGGCGCGGGATGACAGGCTGAGCCACCGAGCCCGGCTTACATTGATTTTAATTAAAAAAATTCTTTTTGAGTCGGGGTCTCACTTTGTTGCCCAGACTGGAGTGCCGTGGCACAACCATGGCTCCCCACAGTCTCGACCTCCTGGGGTCAGGCGATCCTTCTTTCTCAGCCTCCTGCGCAGTTGGGGCTGCAGGCATATAACACCACGCCTGGTTGATTTTTCGATTTTTTGGTAGAGATGAGGTCTCACTCTGTTGCCCAGGCTGGGCTCGAACTCCTGGTTCTCAAGTCATCCTCCTGCCTCAGGCTTCCAAGGTGCTGGGATTATAGGCGTGAGCCACTGTGCCTGACCGACTGATTTTAATAAAAATGTTAAACCAACTTTACATTCCTGCATTAAGCCCTATTTGGTCATGATGCACCATTCTTTAATACATCATTGAATTGGGTTTGCTATTATAAGAAGTCTTTGATCATAAGGGGCATTGTTCTATAATTCTCTTTTTTTTGTAATGCATTATTGGTTTTGGAATCATGGTTAATACTGGCTTCATAAACGTTTGGGAATAATGTTCCTTCCTCAATTTTTGATGCCAAGATCAGGCCCAGTGGTTCATGCTTGTAATCCCAGCACTTTGGGAGGCAGAGGCGAGAGGATTGCCTGAGAACAGTCTGGGCAACTTGGCGAGACCTTATCTCTAAAATAAATTAAAAAACTAGGCTGGGCGTGGTGGCTCAAATCTGTAATCCCAGTACTTTGGGAAGTCAAGGTGAGAGGATTGCCTGAGCCCAGGGGTTTGAGACCAGCCTGGGCAACTACGTGAGACCTTGTCTCTACAATATATAAAAAGAATTAGCAGGGTGTGGTAGCGGGCACCTGTAGTTCCAGCTACTCGGAAGGCTGAGGCAGAAGGATTGCCTAAGCCCAGCTGGTCGACGCTGGGGTGACCGTGAGTGTGCCACTGCAC